TTTTTTTTTGTGCCTGGCCGGGCAAGTTTTCCGGGGCCATGTCCCACTTCTCGAGGTTTTGTTCTGGTTTTGAATATACATGGCTCCTTGCCATCCGATCTGAAAATCTCACGGCCGTAGTGCGACCACGTTGAAAAATACACGAAACATAAACTACCCCCCCAATAGTGGGACATGGCCCCTGGGCTACTCTGGTAATTTAGCTCCAACCTCTTTCTTTTTTTTCCTGTTTTTTTCTTAATAACATACCTTCTCCTTCCTTTCACCATAGTCTGTCCATGAAAGGAAAGCATAAAGCACAATAGGCTCAATATCCTCTGTCTATATTGTCCACACGACTCCACACACAAATCTCCAGAGTCCAAGCATGTCATCTTTGACACAATTTTGAATTTTCCAATCCTGAGTCTGTGATACGTTGATTACAGGATCCCGATCGGAAAATTGACATTCCCCTGAGTCTGTGATCCTGTGATTGATGTTCCCCTTGATTGGCAAAAAGAGTGGACGAGCGCTGGCTTTGCAGCCAAGTCTTCCAGCTCAGTGTACCTTTTTTTTTTTCTTTTTTTTTTTTGTGTGTGTATGTGTGTGTGTGGGAAGTCCAGGTTCTTGAAGAGGCTAGCCACCAGGCATATGACAGTTCCTTCAGCAGTTGGCCATTTTATCCATCCAAATGATTTTCTATACAGGGCCCCTATTCTGAGACTGGCCCCCTATTCTGATACTGCCTCCCACCCTTACTCATCAGCTTTATCATTTTCGTCAGGCTTGCAGTTCTTCCTGCCCGGGCCCTCCCAGGTGTGCTTGAAAGACTGGACGACGCGAGTTTTTTTTCCTTTTTTTTTTTCAACAATTTGGAGCATGTCTTGACTTATGGTGTCTCCCCAGGTGCTAGTGGTGTCTGCTCTTACCAGCACCACTAACACTGGAGGGGGCGTTTTTTCTTTTTTAATAAAAAAATAATAAGAAAAAAATGGTGTGTCATCCTTGAAATGTGCAGGGGTCATGCTAATCTTCTCGTTCTCTGCGAATCATTCCAATTTTAACGGATGTCCCCAAAGACAGCACCAGTGGTTAATGGGGTAGAACCTAGGCTACCAGCCGGGCCACCCGGCCAGTTCGGTTCCCCAGTTTCGTTGGGTGGGCCCAGTGCATTTGTGAGCGGGCGGTCGGGAGAACCTGGGCGGGTCCAGGTGGCCTCCCGACGCCCGCCGCATGCCTTTAATAAACTGAACAGTTAGGTTAAAAAAAAAACATTTGAGGGGCGACAGGGCCCCTTTCGCACATTTCAAGGATGTTACCAGCTGTGGGTAAGCAGGGTGGGCAGGAAGAGAAAGGAGTCATCACAGGACGCCCCTGCACAGGCCAAACATGCTCGTGGCAGTCCTCGAAAGAAGAAGACCGAAGCGACAACTGCACCGGCTCAGAAAAAAAAAACAGCACCACAGGCGCAAGACGGTGGTGGAGGA